GCGCTCGTAGGCCATCTATGCCAGTGTGTTACCAGGCGAGCTGATGAAAGGCTACATGAGTCAGTTCCCCACCTTCCCCAGCTGGCTCGGCAAGTACTCCTCCACCAACAAACATTCCCGCATCGTCCAGGAGCTGGCCTCACACATGGGTTTGAAGTGAGTAGGCCTTGATCGCTACCTGTTAACTATTTACACACACAATCACACTGGAGTGCATTTGAGCGTCTTGTTTGTTTGTCTCACGCAGGACGATGTGCAGCAGACAGGCGGTGAACCTGGACTACTTGCACTACCTGCGGCAGACGCTGCTGAGCCCTCTCCAGAGGCTCGGAGCGGAGGGTGCCGGGGAAGCTGTGCAGCTGCTGGACAACTACCAGCTCATCAAGGAGGACGTGGACAGCATCATGGAGATCAGCGCCTGGGGCGGACAGCCAGACCCCTACTCCAAACTGGACCCTAAGGTCGGCAGGAGGAGGAGGTGGAGGAGGGAGTGTTGTTCAGGGTTTGGTGTTTAGCATGGAAGCAGTGGTCGAAAGTGACTAGAGGATGAAATTGTCATATAATAGCAGTAATACTTTTGACACTTGCCAAACTCCAGTTGCAGTTTTCCACAGTGTGACTTCCCTTCTGTGGAGTCGCTTAAAGCTAGAGGGCAGTTGTTTTCCCCCCACTGATAGTGAGAGTGCTGACAAATATCATTTCAATACAACAAAAGCACCGTCGACGTGGTTATGACATATGAGGCTGTTGATTGCTTTCTGTTCTGGACTTCCTCTGAACACGCTGAGTGTCTTTCTTTGGGGGCGCCATAGCTTCTGCCAGACTCCTATCTGCTGCTGCTAAGGCCTCTACTCCCACCCTCTCTGCCTGTCAAGGTATAATACAGGATGACAGGCATACCATGTAACCAATCAGAGCTAGAATCGGCAGCGACGCTGTGAATAACTGAGTGTAAGAGTGTGAGTTTTGTTGATGGCACTTTGTGTTCTGCTCATGCAACGCCGTTGTTATGGAGTTGATAAACTACTCATTCTGAGAGCGATCGGCATTTTTCTGGTGTTCTCAGTGCGGGAATGTCTCCACAGACACCTCGACTCTGCTATACTGAGGAATACTGGCAGCTTTACTGGGGGCAGGAGGCTTAATCAGCACTGTGTGAACTCCCTTTGCAAGGGCTTGAATGTAACAGACGCTCATTTATATGGAAAAGTCCCGCACGCTAGCTTTAAATGAGTGTCACTCACCCACCTGTCGGATGACTATGTTCTCAACCATCCGCGTTCACCAGAGCTCACCAACTCTACTTCACAACACACACTGTCTCCTCACAGGTGAAGGCAGCATTCACGCGGGCCTACAACAGAGAAGTTCACCTGACGCCGTACTCCCTGCAAGTGGTGAAGAAGGGCCGCCGTGGTGGTGGTGGTGGGGGGGAGGAGTCTGAGTTGGGAGGAGAGGACGTGAACAACGAAGCGCAGGAGTCCGAGGACGAGGGCCTCAAAACCGACGCCATGATCAAAGTGAGAGCATTAACAGCGAGATAACGATGTCAAACCGTTGCATCCCATGCACACTCCTTTGTCTTTCTCTGTTAAATGTCGTCTGTGGCTTGTTCCTCTCTGCAGCAGAAGAGGGCCAAAGCCACCAAGGAGTCGAAGAAGGACGATTCTGGGAAAGACAAAGGAAAGGGGAAAGGAAAGGGGAAAGGCAAGGCCAAGAAATGAGCTATGACCAGAGGAGGAAACTGTCCTGGTCTGCCGCCCTCCGCCCTCACACACACTGTAATATTCTTTCTCAGATCCTTAAATGAGTATCAGAAAGTAGTGATTCTGGTTACTGCAGGCAACTCTAAATGCTAACCCCACTAAGCTAGTAAGAATCGGTTTCCACTTTTTTAACTTCCTGTCGTGTTTCCATCAGAGCGAACACACGCTGTATATTCTCTGGTGGTTCCCTCCATTATCATGTCTATAGAGCTGCGTAGCGATGTGTCTCATCAGGAGTGTAGTGGGCGTCTCCCGTCATGAGATAGTGGGCCGGGTGTTGAGGCTGTAAATAATGTGACTGATGTATAAGTCTGTTCTCTTTGCTACGACTACAATACAGAAATGTTTGAGCTCTACGGTTAGCACTGATGTTCTTGTAAATTGCAATTTTTGTAAAAAAAAAACATTTCATGAGGAATAAAGGAGAAATGTGTCACTCATGAGTGTCAGTGATTGATTTCTTTTACAATTTAACACTTTTATAAAATGGTTTCTGGGAGTTTGTTTTATTTTAAAGATATATCAAACTGAGTTTTTAATAACTTTTTTACACGTACTATACGATGACTGAGTTTTTTCTTTCAACATTATACTATAGCTTATTTTTGACATACACCATGACTTTTCTATGACTTCTTATGGCATACTATTCAATGACCTATGACACAACATATGTTGTTTTTTATGGTATAATATGACTTTTCTGTCTTTAATATAAACTACACCATGCCTTTTTTTTATGACCTACTATACAATTACTTTTTGTAATTAAAAATGTTCACAGTATTTATTATGACATTAAAAACATCCCATTACAGTATGCTATAAAAAAGTCAGTGTATATTTAGTCATTAAGAAAACCATTAAATAGCATCTAATTAAAGTCAATGTATGGTGTGTCATTAAAACAAAGTTAGAGAAAAACTTCCAAAAAAAACAAGCTAAAAAAAAGACAAGTGTTTTCTGTTTTGATTTATTGTCTGTTGAATATCAGCATATCAAGCATCTTTGAAATTCAGTTACTTCACTAATCCCATCATTCAAAACTAAAAGCTGCATATCAGCCATCCAAAATATATATTTGACACATTTAAACAAATAGAAAAAAACATGACATCTATATACATGTGATTTGTTGTTTTCTTCATTGATCCAGTTCATCACTTTGCAGGTATTTGGAACAATCAGGAATCTTCTTTATCTGTTTGACACTCACAGTCTCGGAGCACATCGGACACACCGTCTCCGTTTCCAGCAACCTGGACACACCAACGGGTCAGTGTACGTTTGTTAATGTCACAATGAATGAGAGAAGTGCTTAAATACACTTAATCGCTTCCTGGCAGAGAGTTAGATGAGAAGATCGATGCCAGTCATTGACCCTTTTTTTCAATCTTCTCATCTAACTCGAGGCAAGAAAGCCAAGTCAAGTCAAGGAATCCTAAAAAGAGGTATGGGATGTTGCTGAACTCACACTGGGTCTAAGCCGGAAGTATTTTACATTTATTTGATTGTAATGGAGCATCTCTGTTATCAATAACTAACATCAGACTGTCATCAGTAAGCCAGCTCTCTCGATAACATTTTGTGATTTTGTCTATAAATCTGGACCTTTATAACGATGGTGTCACAATGATATAATGACCCTTCCTTCTTTCTTATCTTCCTTGTTTGAATTGAGAAATAAAAATGATGCCAGTACTGTAAACCAGCAAACTGCTACTGACTAATAAACTCTGTATAATAAGCTTTCTGAATTAAGAGAAGTACCTCAACCTTCCATACATCTGTATATGGACGACTTAAAAGAACGGATAGAAAAAGTTCACTTACAGAATGAACTGAGAGTAGAGCGCTGGGAATTCACAGTGAGGACACACACACCAGTCTTCTTTCAGCATGTGACGGCCCTGAGAGAACGAGCAAAGGTCCAACGATGAAAACACAAGTACAGGGGAAACTATTTTGTCCAGCGAGTGTGAGAAGTGATAAAGTGTTTGTACCGTGGAAATGCAGTAGGGCAGGTTGGTCTTGCAGGACATGCACAGCAGTTCGTTCTGTGGCAGCTGAAAGCCACAGAAGGGACACGGAGTAGTTTCTTCCTCCAGCTCCGAAGTGTCTGGACGTCTGTGACGGGGCCACATATGCAGAGCAGAGAGAGGATGAAGGAGGCAAGAGTTAGACGAACGAGGTGAAACACACACACACACGGGGAAAAAAAGGACAGATTGTTTGGTGACGAGCGTCCAAAGGCACGAAGTGACAGGAGGATCCAGGGACATGCCCACTGGAAATTTATTTAAAATCAGCAATTTGGTGCATTCTGGACATGATATTTATCGCTAGCAAAGGCACCAATGCTAATTCTCTCCTTTCTTAACAATTAGTATCTTTATCAACTTAAAAGGCAACCAGAATCTATATGTCAGTAAAGAACAAAGTTCAAATTCTTGTTCCTTTCATATCAACATATGTAACTGCACACTGACTGATCGACACCAGTACTCCAGTAGTACACTGAACAGACACTTTCCCAACAACCAACAGGTCAAAACAGCGTACGGTAAAAGTTTCTGGGAAAACTCGTGCTTGTGAACTTCAGTTCCGCATGACCTGTAAAATCTTCTTTTCGCGTTAGAGGTAAAGATACTAAAAGGACTATGACGTAATAATAATAATAATAATAATTCACTTAGGATGTCAGTGCCTCTGTAGACGTAGCTCAGCCAACCATGCATATGTGTGAAGAGAGAAAGAGGGAGGTCGGGAGCGAGCAGCAGGAAATAAAAACGGGAGGTGTGAACATTGTGGACCCTCACCGAACCATAGCCTCGATCTTCTTTCTGTACTTTGGGTCGATCTCGTTTCGGTACTCTGGTCTCATCAGCATGGCGGCGAAGCTGAAGGCGGAATTCTTCAGTCCGGCGCGGTGACATTCGATGACCGCCGACGTCAGAATAGGAACAACATCTACACAAACACACGATGACACTGCTGAATAGAACTGAACTGATTCATGGGCTGAACAGCAGATTCTCTGTGGACTCACGAGCTGGAAACTTGCTGATGTTGTTGCTGACGCGAATGAGCATGCGCGCCCCTTTAAGGTGGTCTCCCCTCTTTACATGGACCTACAACACATCATTTACAAAGTCAGACACACTCACGTCATGTTAACATTGAGAAACTTTATCAAGTAACATTCAAGTTTTAGCAAAAAATGTTTTCAGACAAAAATGACTTCCCAAAAAAACACTTTATTCAAAAATCCTAGATAGTCTGTGAACAAAGCGATTCACCATGACGACAGTAAACAAGGGGAGCGAGCACATCGCAGGAGAGTGCTGACCTTGACCAGCAGGTAGGAGTGGAGGATCATTAGATTGGTGGCCATCTCAGCAGGGATTTTAATCTTCTGGGCCTGCAGCTCCGTGTACATGCTGAACAGCACGTCATGAGCGTTACGGTAGTTCCCTGTAGGAAAAACAGAAGCAGGAAACACAACATACGATTAACATGCGTGTATGATTACGGTACTATGTCATTGGCACATTGGAATACGTTTGTACCTGCACACTGCTCCTCTCTGGCGATGATGATGGCGGTGCGAGCAGCCTCCCTGTACAGCTGCAGAGCCATATACAGACGGAACAGGTACTTGGCATCCTGGGAAGAGGAAATAACGATTAAGTTATCCATCACAAGTTTGATGAACAGTGTCACTCAGGGTCAGAATCACAGACAGTCACAGGGTGAAGTAGGGCTGCAGCTTCCATTCAGATTACCTTTGGCATACCGTCGCTCTCTCCCATCAGGTAATCTATCAGCTGATTGGTCAGAGAACTGTCCCTTGCCTGACCCACCTGAAATACACACGCATCCAAAACACTCGACTTAGTGCTCACATCATTCTGAACATGCACTGGGATATTCAGTGTGACGCTCTGCTCTCACCGTCTCTATAGCCATCTCAACAGCCATGTTGTCGTCAGTGTTGGGACACTTCAGGAAGTGGTTCAGGGCCTGAGCAACAAAGACAGAAGACACTGACTAATTGGTTCGAACCTGGTGGATGGGCCAGAGTGAGTCAATGTCCAGGTCAACAGCTGTTTGTACCGATGAATTAAGTTATATAAGGGAGACATAAAGGAGCATTCTTACTCTGCTGTACTGCCCACACTTCTGGAAGAACTTTCCAGCCTGCAGGTGCTTCTTTTCTCCCTCAAAGTAGAGAGCAATGCTCTGGTAGTCCTCCTGCGTCGCCTCAGGACCTGATGAACACACACACAGTCACGCACACCGTTTCACTGGCACTGCAGTGCTACACAGTCGCTATAATCATTCACACACAGACTGACCAATGATGTCCGCATAGACCTCCATTTGCCCGTGCTGCTGTGCCAGTTGGAAAGCTTCGTCGTTGCACTGAGACAGCACCAGGAAGTGGATGGCTGAGCCGTAGTCGTTCAACCCCAGGAAGAACCTGAGGCACGCACAAACATATCAGGTCAATTACACACATGGGGGAAAAAGGAGCAGAGGGAAAGGATTGGAGATGAAACAAATAGCTGAGTCAGACAATGATTTGGCAACAGCAATGTTAATGGTTTAAGTCATCTATCATTCAAGGATGCCAACATCTGCTCCAGGTCTTCACGTGCTATTTGCAGCTTGTCTCTTTATATCATTGTAAATGGAATATGTTTGAGGCTGCTGTGTTTTTGGACAAAAACAAGCTATTTGAAGACTTCAGGTGGCCTACCTGGCCACCATCTTTGCGCCATCGATGCTCTGTGTCTCCCTAACGATGCGTACGGCCTCCTCTGGGCTGTTCAGGTGGTCCAGCAGCACGCGTATCACGTTGTCCCAGTCCTTTGCACTCTCATAGGCCTGTGCAGCGTCTTTATACCTGGTGCACACAGCATTGGATTCATTGGATACATTGGATTCTTATTTAATGGCATCATTTTCTCCAAAGTCACGGACATTCACGCGCTGAGAACTTACTTGCCGTCCGCCTCCTTGGCTTTGGCGTACTGCAGGTGGATCTTAGGAGAGGAGACATGTGGGAGCAGCTCTCCCACCTTCGCCCTAAGTACGGAGTGACATAAAGCGGAACGGTTTCCAGGAGGAGAGATGACGTACAGTTCTGTCTGTGTTGGCATTTGTCTCACCAGTTCTTGCAGCGAATGTAGACGGATGCAGCCTTGTCATAGTACTGTCCTTTTTCATAGAGCTGAGCGGCTTCAGAGAATTGCTGTAAGAGAGGGAAGAAAAACCACAGAAGACGACGTGAACAACAAGCACTCAAAAACACTATCTGATGCTCAGATACATGCAATACTGCAGGAAAAACACACACTATTAACACAAACGCATCAGATGACTGTAGTTCACCGCGCACCTATGACAGGAGGCTTTACCAAAACATATAGTTTAC